AGTATGTAGGTTACTGCATCCGTTGGCTGTCCATTGACAGTTACACCATAATTGATGATCTGGGAGGGGACCTGCATGGCGATACGACGAGCCAGACCTTGAAGGCCTCTTTGTAGTGCTGCAGCTTGTTGTGGTGGTGTCATATTGCCACTCGTTACGTTTAACCATGCATGTACTTCGCGAACATATTCGCGAAAAGGCGTAGTACCGGCAGGGTCCCATGAAGGGCCAGTAGTACGCGTGTCGTCCATCCCCTGCCGCATGTATCCCACAGCACATCCCATTATTACCCACAGAATGCCGAAGATAGTTATCTTGATCCAATGCATGTGCATTTCGGCTTCGGTGATTGGTTTGGGCTGTGGTTTGTCAGGCTCTGGCGTGGTAGCCGTGAGGCGCCTGACCGGCACGGGATGCAGGTGGCCCCGCTGCGGGTAGCCCCGCAGGGTGACCACGTTCTCGATCGAGTTGCCGATTGGCATCTGGTGGAAGTCGGGAGTGAAGTAGCGCAGTGAAGTAGGAGAGAGCGTCTCGAGTTCGCGGGTTGCCCCGCTAGCTCGATCGCGGACTGGCTCCGCTCCTCGCAGAGCCGGCGCAACATGGTATTCCACCGTAGTAGTAGTCCACCAAGTTGTGCCGTGGATTACAGGAATCAGAGCGAGAGCCAGCCACACGAGAGTGTAGCCAGCTCCGCTACCAAGTCGAAAACAAGCTGGTAAGCTTAGGTATGTAGTCCGCCTTAGGCGCTCCCATATCCCAGGCTTTGGCTCATATCGCATGAGCAAGAGAGCGAGACGAAGCATGGGATCTGGAGTAAAGAGTAGGATGGGCATCGTCAATGGAAAAGGTGTTTTCCGATCTCCGATGCAAGTAGTGCGCCTCGGTGAGGCACAGTCACATATTAGGCCGGGCCCGGCTTGAGCCAGGCACGGCAGCGGTACATGCTCGATTTATACCTCGCCTTTAACCTTCTCCGTTTAAAGTCTGGTTGTGCACTGTGCGTGTTGAGTCTGTGACGCAGCATTTTGGCTTGCCTCTGGTGAGGAAAGGTGGGGCGGGGGCCCCATTCTCGAAGCCATCTGCAACTCCCAAGAGGGCCCCAAGAGGCAAAAATCAATGTTTTTTTTCTTAGGTTTGGGACAGATTTGGGCGTTTCAACCTTTTCGGTTCCCCGACGCCCCTAAACGGCTCAAGAGGCCCCCAAGATCGCCCCAAGAGGGCCCAAGAGGCCCTCAAAAGGGCCCCAAGACGGCCCAAGACGGCTCCAAGACGGCCCCAGAGGCCTCCAAGACGGCCCAAGAGGGCCTCAAGAACGCCCCCAACACGGTCCAACGGAGGTCCGAGACGCCCGAAGATCGCTCCACGACGCCCAAGATGGCCTCCGGACGGCCCAAGACGTCTCCAAGATGGCCCAAGAAGCCTCCAAGATGCCCCAAGAGACCTCCAAGAGAACTCCCAAGATGGCCCCAAGAGGCAAAAAACTGTGTTTCTCCTTTGGTTCGGGACAGATTTGGGCGTTTCAACCTTTTCGGTTCCCCGACGCCCCTAAACAGCTCAAGAGGCCTCCAAGATCGCCCCAAGAGGGCCCAAGAGGCCCCCAAGAGGGCCCCAAGACGGCCCAAGACGGCTCCAAGACGGCCCCAGAGGCCTCCAGGACGGCCCAAGAGGGCCCCAACAACACCCCCAACACGGTCCAACGGAGGTCCGAGACGCCCGAAGATCGCTCCACGACGCCCAAGATGGCCTCCAGACGGCCCAAGAGGTCTCCAAGATGACCCAACAAGCCTCCAAGATGCCCCAAGAGGCCTCCAGGAGCACTCCCAAGAGGGCCCCAAGAGGCAAAAATCAATGCTTGTTCCTAAGTTTGGGACAGATTTGGGCGTTTCAACCTTTTCGGTTCCCCGACGCCCCTAAACGGCTCAAGAGGCCTCCAAGATCGCCCCAAGAGGGCCCAAGAGGCCCCCAAGAGGGCCCCAAGAGGGCTCCAAGACGGCCCAAGAGGCCTCCAAGACGGCCCAAGAGGGCCCCAAGAACGCTTCAAGAACGCCCCAAGAGGGGGCTCACGAAACAGAATTTCGAGCTCTCGGCCCTTAGAGGCCCCCGGGAGGCCCCAAGACGCCCCCAAAGGCCCCAAGAGGCCCCCAAGAGGCCCTCAAGAGGCCTCAAGAGGCCTCCAAAAGGCCCTCTGGAGGCCTCCAAAAAACCCTCAGGAGGCCCCCAGGACGCCTCCAAGACTCCAGCCAGACGCGACTTGGGAAACGCGGGTCGGGGTGGTCCTCCTCCCCCGCGTTCGGCCTCCAGCCTCGAGCCTCGACCCTCCACGACGACGACGACGACGACGCCGGCGGGCGGCGGCGGCGGGCGGCGGCCGCGGCGACGACGACGACGACAAAGGCGCTCCTCATCGCTCCTCATCCCCCTCCTCCTTCCTCCTCCTCCTCCTCCTCCTCTTCCTCCTCCTCCTCGTCCTCCTCCTCCTCCTCCTCCTCCTCCTCCTCCTCCTCCTCCTCCTCCTCCTCCTCCTCCTCCTCCTCCCCCCATTCAGAATGGACGACATCCGACGACAAAGGCGCCCCTCATCGCTCCTCATCCCCTCCTCCCTCCTAATTTTCCTCCTCCTCTTTCTCGTCCTCCTCCTCCTCCTCCTCCTCCTCCTCCTCCTCCTCCTCCTCCTCCTCCTCATCCTCCTCCCCCAATGCAAAATGGACAGCATCCGACGGCAAAGGCGCCCCTCATCGCTTCTCATCGCTCCCCCGTGTCCGCAACGCCAGAGGACATCAGGACGATAACCGAGCCAATGTTAGCATTCAAAGCCCGCCACCCTCCGACACGAGGGTTCCCCTATCGCATAAGATGTCTCTTCCCCCGGCTCGAACGGCCCCACAGCGGGATACCACGGGTAACACGCCCCCACGATGGCACCAAAGCCGTCAAAAAACTGCAAACACCTAGAAGCCCCATGAAAAAACAACAACAACTTTATCGACAACTACGCAGCTCCCGACGCCGCAGCTCCACACTGCAAACGACCACTCGGACAGGCGACCACGGTGCGACATTATGGGCCGGCGGAATGAGCGAAGCGATGAAATCAATTGCATGGAAGTCACAGGCGAGAGCGCAATTCCTGAATAAAATGTGAAGGGTTCTCTGGCGGAAGCGGGGGTCTTGATAAAATTGCGAGGAAGTCTTGATTCAATTGCGTAAAAGTTTCAAGCGGGAGCGCCGTTCCTGAGTAAATTGTGAGGAAGTCTCAGATGGGAGCGGGGGTCCTGACTAAATTGCGAGGAAGTCACAGGCGGGAGCACCAATCCTGAGTACATTGCGAGAAGGTCTAAAGCGGGAGCGGGGGTCCTGAGTAAATGTAGAGGATGTCTCAAGCGGGAGCCGTTGTTGTTGTAACCCGGGGGGCCAGGGGCACAGTTTGAGCACCAAGACTTCCCCTGTCAAAAAACAGGGTGCGAGCGTCGAGGGGCACACTTTGATTGAGAAAAAACCATATGCACCGATGAGGGGGGATCAACAATAATTATTCTTCAGAAATGAAAGTTCAACAACAACGACAACAATAACAACAACGATAACGACAACGACAACGACAACGACAACAATAACGACAACGACACCGACAACGACAACAACAACAACAACATCAACATCAACTACAACAACAGCAGCAGCAGCAACAACGACAACAACATTTGAAACAACAACAGCGACAACAACGACAACAACAACAACAGTAGCAGCAGAAACAACAACAGCAACAACAACAACAACGACAGCAACAACAATAACAACAACAACAACAACAACAACACTGACAACAATGACAACAACAAGAACAGCCACAACAACAACAACGACGACGACGACAGCAACAGCAGCAGCAACAGCAGCAACAGCAGCAACAACAACAACAACAACGCTGACGACGACGACGACGAGTGAGCAGGGAGGAAAAGAGGGAGGAGGGAAAAAAAAGAGGAAGGAGGAGAGAGCGAGTTGGCTAGCAGTAGTGCAATCGAGCGAACGATAGCACCGAGCTTGGAGCGGCACCAGGTGGGCTACCACCCAGTCGACGGGAGACTCTGTGGAAAGCGCTGGAACCACCAAAGCTGGGCAAAAGGAGGGCTGCAGCGCAGCGCTCTTGGGGAGCGCCTGCAGGACGCTGCGCTGGCGCGGCGGCGCAGCGCCCAGCCTGCGGGCCCTCACGCGCTCGGCACGACGGCCTCCTGCAGGAGGGAGGCCCTCGGCCCGAGAAGTCGCCGCTCAGAGCGCCGCAACGGGGGCGGGCTGCCACAGGCCAGCGCGGACGCGAGAAGGCCGCGGCACGCAGCGGCGCGCCCCACGCGCTGGGCCTCCCTGGAGACAGAGGCCCTCGAGCGGCCCCAAGTCCCAGGCGCAGGCTATCATTACTCCTCTCTCCTCCTCTCTCCTCCACTCTTCCACTCGTCTCTCCTCCTCTCTCCTCCACTCTTCCACTCCTCTTCCTCCTCCTCCTCCTCCTCCTCCTCCTCCTCCTTCTTCTTCTCATCATCATCATCATCATCAGCATCATCATCATCATCATCATCATCATCATCATCATCAGCAGCAGCAGCAACACCACCATCATCACCCGCTCTGTCTTCGTCGCGACGGGGTAACAAGCGTGGCGGGGCGGGAGGAGAAAGAGGAGGACGAGGAGGAGGAGGAGGAGAAAGAGGAGGAGGAGGAGGAGGAGGACGACAAAAGGAGGACGACAAAATAACGACCAAGGTAACGACGACGATCGATGAGAAAGGAGCGAGACGACGACGACGACGACGACGACGACGACGACGACGACGACGACGACGACGACGACGGTGGCGCCGAGGATGGCGCCGAGGATGGCGGCGGCGGCGGCGGCGGCAGCAGCAGAGGCGGCGGCAACGGCGGCGGCGGCAGCGGAGGCGGCGGCAACGGCGGCGGCGGCGGCGGCGACGGCGCTAGCAGCGGCAGCGGCGGGCGCCCGCCTCGGTCCCTGGGCGTGCGCTCGGGCACAGCGGGCTCGCGCCCGGGCCCTTCGCGGAGGGGCCCGGGCGGCAGCGGCTCCCTCGGTCTCGGGGCGGGCTGCGCGCCCCTTGGCTCGGGCGGCCGCTGGGCCGCGGGGGCTTCGGGCTCGTCGGCTCGCGGGCTCTGGCCTCGGGCGGAGGGGGGGAAGGGAAGGAGGGAGAAGGGAGGAGGGAAGAGGGCGAAGGCGGTAAAGGAGGCAGAGGAGACGGAGGAGGAGGAAGGTGAAGGCAGAGGTGGAGGTGGAGGAGGAGACGGAGGAGGAGGAGGAGGAGGAGGAGGAGAAGGACAAGGAGGAGGAGGAGGAGGAGGAGGAGGAGGAGGAGATGGAAGAGGATGAGGAGGAAGGTGGAAGTGAAGGATGAGGGAGGTGGAGGGAGGGGAGGCAGGAGGAGGGGGCGGAGAAGGAGCAGGGAGGAGAAGAAGGAGAAGGAGGAGGGAAAGGCTACGTTCGGCGAACTTTGCAGCCTCCAGCAATCAGCAATCAGGAGAAGGAGGATGATGAGGAGGAGGAGGGAGAAGGAGGAGAAGGAGGAAGGAGGAGGACGACGACGAGGAGGCTGAGGAGGAAGTACACGGAGGTAGGGGGAGGATGCTAGGGAGGAGGGAGGAGTGGAAGGAGCAGGAGGAGCACAAGTAGCAGGAACTTGCCTTGATCGGATTCTGCTTTGAGCCAGGCAGCCGGACTGCGCCGAATGATGCGGCCTGCTCGGTCCTGGTGCCCTGGTCCGCTCGGCAGCCATCATCACTTATCCCCCGTCGCCGACGCAGGCCTCCTCCTCCTCCTTCTTCTCCTCTTCCTCCTCGTCCTCCTCCTCAACATCATCAACAACAGCAGCAGCATCATCAGCTTCATCATCACATGCACCACCGCCACCATCACCGTCATCATCGTCATCATCATCGCCACCACCATCACCACCACCACCACCTCCATCATCATCATCATCATCATCATCATCATCATCATCAGCATCATCAGCAGCAGCAGCATCATCATCATCATCATCATCATCATCATCATCATCATCATCATCATCATCATCATCATCATCATCATCATCATCATCATCATCATCGCCATCATGTTCGTTGTAGTCGTCATCATCACCACCACCATCATCATCATCAGTACCATGCTCAGCAGCATGATCATTGTCGTCGTCACCACCATCATCATAATATGCAGCATGAGCATCATCATCATTATCACCATCATCAACAACAAAAGCATCGTCATCATCATCAGCAACAACATGATCGTCATCCTCATTACTAACAGCATTATTATCATCATCAGAATCACCATCGCCATCATCATCATCAGCAGCATCATCAGCAGCAGCATCATCATCAGCATCATCAGCAGCAGCATCAGCAGCATCATCATCAGCAGCATCAATACAGCCATCATCATCATCATCAGTAGAATCATCATCAGCATGATCAGCATCATCACCATCATCACCAACGGCCTCATCATCATCATCAGCATCATCATCCTCATCAACAAAAGCATGCTCATCATAGTCATCAGCAGTATCAGCATCATCATCACCACCGTCCTCATCATCATCACCATCAGCAGCATCATTGTCGTCATCATCGTGTTCATCAGCACCAACAGCAACATCATCGTCATCGTCATCATCAGAATCATCATCATCAGCATCATCATCACCATCATCATCAGCAGCATCAGCATCATCGTCAGCAGAAGCAGCAACACCATCATCAGCATCATGATCATTGCCATCGTCGTCATCATCAGAAGTTTCATGTTCATCATAATGTTCATCCTCATCATCAGCATCATCATCATCAAAATCATCAGCATCAGCATCAAGCATCATCGCCGTCATCACCATTCGACATCCTGCTGCTGCCTCCACCCCCGCGCCGTCGGGGAGGGGAGCAAGAGGAGGAGTAGGAAGAGGTAGCAGATAGGACGCACGCCAGAGGCACATCCCCAGCTCGTGTGGGAACCTACGAAGCGACGCTGCTGGACAGCCGTCCTGGTGTCTGGGCACAACGTGCGCGACGAATTCGGCTCTGCTTGGCAGAAGAATGGCTCTTCACCTGCAGGGGAGAGCACGGACAGAGGCCCCCTCCCCACGGCACGCGAGGAGGAGGGGGGGAAAGAGTAGGAGGATGAACGACGACGACGACGACGACGACGCCGACGGCGGCGGCGAGGGCGGCGGCGGCGACGGCGACGGCGGCGGCGGCGGCAGCGGCGACGGCGACGGCGACGGCGACGGCGACGACGACGGCGACGGCGGCGGCGACGGCGGCGGCGGCGACGGCGAAGGCGACGGCGACGGCGGGCGGCTCCGTGAGCCTCTCGGGGCCGCCCCGGGGCTGTCGGACCGCGCCCTGCCGCTGGACGGCGCGGACGGCCCTGCGGGCCGGCAGCCAGCGCGCCCGTGTGGCGGCAGGCATGTGGTGGGGAGGAGGAGGAGGAGGAGGAGGAGGCGGAGGAGGAGGAGGAGGAGGAGGAGGAAGAGGCGGAAGAGAAGGAGGAGGAGGAGGAGGGGGAGGAGGAAGGGGAAGGTAGCAACGAGGGAGGGGAGCGCGAAGGAACACGAGAACGGGGACAGGGGGAGGGAAGAAGAGGAGGAGGAGGAGGAGGAGAAAGAGGGGGAGGAGGAGGAGGAGGAGGAGGAGGAGGAGGAGGAGGAGGAGGAGGAGAAAGAGGGGGAGGAGGAGAAGGAAGAAGGGATAAGGAGGGATGGAGGAGGGAAGGGGGAAGGGGCAAGGGGGAGTGAGGGATGGAGGGAGGGATGGAGGGAGGGAAGGAGGGAGGGATTGAGGAAGGGGGAGGCGTGCGGTTCACATTGCAACCAGAGCGGCCACTTTACAACCAGGATGGATTTTCCCAGAAGGGTACTTGACAACCAGGAAGGCCACTTTACAACCAGGCAAGTAAACGCACATAACCGACATATGATCTTCAATTTCCGAAATCTCCGTGGGTCTACGGAAGGGAGACACTTCGCTCTCTGAAACGCGTTGGTTGTAAAGTGACTCGTCTGAAGCGAGAACCTGTGCACTGGCGGATTCCGAATGGGATCCCACGGGAATCCCATTGGAATCCTATTAGCACCCTTCCCACTGGGATCCTGTTGGCACCAGGTGAACCGCGCTGGCATGCAACAAGCATCCTCGCTATGGGTCCTACGGGGCCCGATTGGAACCCGATAGGGATGCTTCCTATTGAAGCCCGTTGGGGTCCTTCCGAATGGAAACCGATTGGACACCCCATTGGATTACAATCGAAGAACCTTCCTATTGGAATGCTGCGGGAACGTACTGGGGTCATATATGGAAAACGGTGGGGATTCTTTTGGGTTCTTCAAGAGGAACCGTTTCTCTTGGAATCCCATCGGGACAATATTGGCGAATACGAAAGAATTCACATTGGAATCCAACCGGAGTCCTTCCTTTTCGATTCATGCGGGCATACTACTGGGACCCCATCAGGACCCAACTGTAACCCAACAAGAACCTGTCCTCTTTGAATCAAACTGTGCCCCGAATGGCGTCATATTATATTCCCTGCGGTACCCATAAGGAGCTATTGGAACCAAATTGGGATGTCATCGAGATCCTCCCGCTAGAGGCTGATGACAGGCCTGGGCGGTTTTGTTTTTAATATCCGTGCCCTAAACCTACATCGTTTTTGGAGTCCCTCATAACCTCTGCCTGGAAATATTGCTTCCTCTGGCAATGGAAGGACAGTAAGCGTTCGCCGCAAAGGACGCAGAGGAACACGCACGCCCCCAAGAGAGCGGGAATCTGGCCAAGCAGTCGTTGGTAGAGGTATAGACTCTACATGCGGATTTCGTACTTTTGCACCATAGACATCTTGTACCCTCGCGCCCCATCGTTTGGCAACGGCGCAACCGTATGCTTCCGCATGCGCGGAAGCATGCGCACCCAGGAAAGCGGAATAAGAAATCATGTGAAAAATCGTGGCTAATGTGCAATTCGAAGTGTTTGTTCTTCTGCAACATAAACCATGTTTGTCCTCGCGCTTCATCGTTTGGCAACAGCGGAAAAAATAGCCTGGCGAAGGACCCAACCATATGCAGTTGTGAGTACTGTCGTTGTGTGCTCCGCATGCGGAGGAACTCCCTTTTAGGGCCACGAAACGGGGTGTGCCAAAAGTTGTCCGGTGGGAGCATGCGACAGCAGCCCTTGGGGCCATCGGTCGAATTGCTTATAGGGCCACGAAAAGCGTGAGAGGTGTGCCGAAATAGGTGCGGTGGGCGCATGCGAACGCAGCCGCTGGGGTCGTCGGTGGAGCTCCCTATGGGGCCGCGAAAGGTGATGGGTGTGCCGAAATGGGTGCGGTGGGCGCATGTGAACCCTGCCACTGGGACCTTCGGTGGAGCTCCCTATGGGGCCCACGAAACACGTGAGGGGTGTGCCAGAATGTGCGTGGGTGACGCATGCGGGCGGTGCGGGGCCTATTCGTCCAAGAGGTGTGTTTTGCTGGGCACTGCCTATTTGAAGAGTCGGTCTCACCTCCTCCCCCCTCATCTCCCCTCCCCCCCAACTCCCCCCCCCTTCCCCGAGGGACCTCCAGCAGCGCCCGAGCTGCCGGCAACGGCTGGGCCCTGCGCGGCGAGCGTCTGGGCCTTCGCCTCGGCGGACGCCAGCGACGCCGGCGACGACGACGACGACGACGACGACGACGACGACGATGGCGGCGATAACGGCGGCGGCGACGTCGGCGGCGGCGGCGGCGGCGGCGGCGACGACAGCGACAGCGTCAACCACAGCAACGACGACGGCGGTGGCGACGGCGACGACGAGGGCGAGAGGATGAAGAGCTGGAGGGGGAGGGGAGCAGGAGGTTGTGAGACACAACGGTCAACACCACATGTCGGGACAACGCAAAAGGTGGGAGAAGGAGAAGCAGCAGGAGCGGGGAGGGCAGCTCTTCCATGAAATTCGCCGGCCCAACGGGCCAGAGGCGTGCTAAGATCTCCGGTGACTGCTTTACAATCTTTCTACTTCGCGCGCGCGGGGCGGCCCTTGGGGGTCCCCGGGCGGAAAGTACCCCGGCAAGGTCCTGAGAGAGTCCCGGGAGGAGTCACCAGGGCGCTCCAGCAGCGCACCAACGCGGCTCCGAGACGTCCCCGAGAGCCCCAAGAAGGGCCAAGAGGCTTCCAAGAGGCCTTCAAGATGCTACATGAGGGGTCCGAGATGCCACAAGATCGCTCCAAGACGCCCACGATGGCCCCCAGACGCCCCAAGAGGCCTCCAAGAGCACTCCCGAGAGGGCCCCAAGAGGCAAAATTCATTGCTTTTCCTAAGGTTTTGGAAGAATTTTCACGTTTCCACCTTTTCGGCTTCACGACACCCCAAGACGGCCCAAGAAGACCCCAAGACCGCCCCAAGAGGGCCCAAGAGGCCCCCAAGAGGGCCCCAAGACGGCCCAAGAGGGCTCCAAGACGGCCCAAGAGGGCCCCAAGGACGCCCCAAGAGAGGCCCCAGGGGGGGAACACGAAACAATATTTCGAGCCCTCGGCCCTCAGAAGTCCCCAGGAGGCCCCAAGAGGCCCCTAAGAGGCCCCAAGAGGCCCCCAACAGGCCCTCAGGAGGCCCCCAAGAAGCCCCCAAGCGGCCCCTGCAGGCCACCCAAATGCCCCCCCAGCACGCAAGCAAGTGCCAGCGACGCCACACGATTGGCCCCAGGCGGCAGACACCCCCCAGGAGGCCCCCAGGCGGCCCCAGGAGGCACCCCCAAATTCTTCCTCGAGCGCGCAAGCAATTGCCAGCGATGCTACAATAGGCCTAAGGTACACCTCGGAGACCACCAACAAACCCCCATGAAGCCCCCGAGAAGCCCCAATAAGCCCCCAAATGCCCACAACGAAGCCCCCAGGGCCCCCTCCACCTCCTGCTGCCCTTCCTCCTCCTCCTTTTCCCTCCCACGGCGAGGTGCCAGAACTGTCGCAGCAGATACACTCTGCGCTCGTCGCCAACATCCTTTGACGCAGCCCGGAGAAAACAACCAATCCGACACACGCATCCCCACCCCTCCCCACACATCCGGGAACAATGCAGAAGGAACGAGAAAACAGGACGAAGAGGAGAAACAAAAAACTGTTCCTTGCCGCCCGCGTCCGCAACGACAGAGGACATCAGCACTACACGAGAATCAACGTTCCCATTCAACGCCTGCCACCGTCCGACACGACAAAAGAGGCACAACCGCGGTGCGCGATATGGGCCGGCGGAATGAGCGAAGCGATTAAATACTACTGCCCGCGGCAGCGCAGCGCATGAGGAGGAGAAGGAGGAGGAGGAGGAGGAGACCTCCCTCCTCTCCCTCTCCCCTGGTTGCTTGGTTCCACCTCCTCTGCCCCCACTTCCCTGCTCTCCCTCCAACCCACCCCGCCCAAGGAAAAGGAGAACCTCCAGAGGCCCCTGTTGACCTCTGCAAAGCTCCAGAGACCCTGGAGACCTCCAAGGAGGAGGAGGAGCCACACTGCATCAGGAGGGGGGGGGGTCCAACGCCTGTCCCGTGAAGAGCAGCGAGGCTGCATCCGAGAGCCGCGCAATAGCACGGACAAGAGCCTCGACCACATGCCGGGTTGTCTGAGTACGACCTTTACCGACTCTTAGGGGTATCAAACGTGCTATACATATATTCAAGAGCTAGGGCTACACCACACAGTTAAGAGGTGGAGTCAAAGTCGAGAAAGGAAAACATGCATTGGTGCTGGAACTCGCCGAGACCCCAGGACCCAGGAAGAAGGAGAAGATAGGCCCTCACAGCTTCCAATAGAACTGGACATTGTAAGTAGTGATCGATGGAGCCACCTCCCACAGCCATACACCGACAGAGACATACCCACGTACCCCGGAGGAGGAGGTGGAGGAGGAGGAGGAGGAAGAAGAAGAAGAAGAGGAAGAGCGCAACTCGCTGAGCGCCGAACGTCGTCACAACTACATGCTGATGGCAGACTGCGCTGCTTTCAGTACGTTAACGTATGCAGAGTGCGTGCGAGGAGGCGATGCAGCGTGCCGCACGTTGTTGTCAAAGTGAAAGCAAAATACAATGTAAACATGAACATGCTCCCGCTCAAATTGTATGGTATGCAAATTCGGGAGCGCGAGCCCGAAACGAGCCAGAGGATCCAGGTGGAGAGGAGATCGAGCAAGGGACATAAAACCGAGGAGGCGGGGTAAAGCGTCAGGACACATGTGACAGCCGAAAAGGCACGACCTGGGTGTTTCCACCTTGACCCTGTGTGGTCGTCCACCGTCCTGCAATAGTTGTCGGGTGGGCCCAAATCCATGCCGGCCGCGAGGCCAGTAAAGTCAACCTCAACTCGGACCATGCCTGCCCTAACTCTGCAACTGGTGGGGCGGCGTGTTCACCCGGCCACTTTTCGCATCGACGCCTGAGGAGATGAGGCATGGAGTCGGGGAAGAGGCAGGTGATCAAGCAGGAATGGTAGAGGCCTTGAGGTCGGGGTCGGCGATGCGCTGCGACGGCATCAGCACAACCTCGAGTGGCAGCCTGGCTAGCCACGTGGACACGCGAGCGCGAGAGTTTATGCCAAGGCGTGCTGCCAACAGCATCCGCCCAGCGCTGCACAATAGCTCGGGGCTCTTTCCAGAGCTGGCATGACCAGTTTCCTTGGACTACCTGTGGTAGCAAAAGGGCGTCGTCCGCAATGGTGCTAGGTTCCTTCGTCAAAAGGCCCCAATATTGAACTGTAAACGCCGCTGTGCGTCAGAGATGGGCCCGGCTCCACGGAGACAGAGGCTGATGCCGTCTACCTGGCAGCCAAACATGAAGCAAGTGGAAGGTGGGGCCGTCGAACGAATTTGGAGGGAGGCGGAGGACACGGTGCAATAGGCCGAGCTCACGCGAAAGCATGACGTCTAGAGGTCGCGCAAATTAGGCGAGATGGGTGAGCACGGTGAGGGTAACACACGAGTATGACCGAAGGGACGCATCGGCAGAGGCACGGGAAGTAGGGATGATGTAAGAGCGCTCTAGCCACTTCTGCTTGGCTGTTTTCCACTGGTCGAGGCTTGTGGCGAGGAAGAGGAGGAGGAGGAGGAGGAGAAGGAGGAGGAAGAGGAGGGGGAGGGGGGAGAGGGAGGAGGTGGGAAAAGGATGATAAGAAGTAGCAGCAGCAGGAGGACCAGAGATTGCAACACGCCCTCTCGTCCCATCCCGTCTTCTACAGCGATATGAACACGCATTCGCACTACGACGAGCACCCGCTGCAAAGGTCAGGGCCCAGTTGGCCCGCATGGAGAGAACCATACATTCATTGAACGATGTACAAACAAACACATCAGGCTATGACGCGACGTGTTACCGGGACACACTAGACTGCCGAGGGAAGATCATCCACTCGGTAGCTGGTATAAGGATTCAGTACAGATGTGCGCGACGCACGAGCGAGAGCACGATTCTGAACAAGAGCTGCCATGCATCCGTGCAACTAATGGGTATCATAAAACTGACCATCTTCAGACTTCAGCAAGCACCACTCGACAACCACCACGCTAATGAACAGGGGCCGCTCCCCATCCGTGAAATGACAGCACATGGTTACGACTAGTGCGCGCGGCGCTGAGGCGAGAGACACACATCGAAAACGGCCCACATTCATCCAGGTAGATTTGGAGATACCCAGGCTCATGGTCATAAAATGTGAAGAAATTTGATGACACGCCTGGGCCGCCCCTCCGACACGCCCCGTGGCGCGACTGTGAAAAACTGCTCGGCGACCGACGGACGGAGGAAGAGCTGGAGGAAAGGGAGGAGGAGGTGGCGGCGGAGATGGAGCAGCAGGCGGAGCAGTAGAAGCAGGAGCCTGTCAAAGGCTAGGTGGGGGGGAGGGGGGAGTGAAGAGGGGGAGGAGGGGGAGGAGAAGGAGCAGGAGGAGGAGGAGAAGGCAGAAACGGGAGCAGGGAGTGCAGAAGGAGGGGGAGGGGATGGAGGAGGGGGGGAGCAGGGAGGATGAGGAGGAAAAAGAGGAACATGAGAACAAGCAGCAGCAGCAGCACGTGAAATAGGAAGGAAGACGAAAAGGAAAGGTGGCTCTTTGTGGCGTCCGAGGGGCCTGAAACGGCCCCGCTGGAGGCACGCGCTGTGAAAAGGAGAAGTGGTGGAGGAGCCAGGAGGAGCAGGGAGGAGGAGGAGGAGGAGGAGGAGGAGGAGGAGGAGGACACGGGCTCGAAAACAAAACACGGACGGCAAAGAGCAGGGGACGACAAAACGAGGCCCGTCCAAGGGCGAGAACAGTCCGCTGGCCCTCAGTCAGGGGGTTATCCGCAGCAGGCTCCACCATCCCCGCAGAGCGGGGCGACGGCGAAACGCGGGAGAAACTGACAAGTACATAATTCCCCGTGTGGGGCGCAAGAGAAAAGGGTCAACAGTCAACAGCCCGGATCCACCCAGGAACTAGAATAGAGGAAGCTGCCGCGAAACAGAGCGCACGCGATGTGACGTCGGTTGAAGCAGAACGCGCGACAGGAACGAAGAATGGCAGAGGAGAAAGAATGCAGGGGACAGATGAAAAAAAGGACAAGAGTGACGAGGCGGAGAAGGAGTGGTGCCAAGTTGGCACCGGGCAGACGGTCCCCCATCACCTCCAACTGCGTTCCT